GCATCAGTCACACTCTCCACCTCTTACAAGCACAACGCCCTCGCTGTGGGTCCACACGCAGTCGGGAGTCGGCTCTGATACCACCTGTAACACCCCGGATCTACACCGTGTAATATTGTCCGTTTTAAATCCACTGACCCTCACGGCTTTAAAACGCGTTACACAGATATAGAACCCAAAGCTTTATAAGTTAGCCCGGAACTTCTCCTTAGGCGATGTGGGACAAGAAAGGTACCCCACTTCCGTGCGCATGCCTGGGCTAGTGGCGCGGACGTACCGCCATCTCTCCACCCCGCACTCGCCGCTTGGCTTGGGCCGTCACAGGATGTATGCCCAACACGGACGTGATGGAAGTGACATGACCGGCAACGCCATCGATGGAACAACAAATGAATATGGATATATGCCGAACGCGGATAGAAATTACGTATGAAAGATTAGAAAAGCGGGGCCTCTTATGCCCACGCAAAGCACGAAACGTGTGAGAAGTCTCCTCATATGCAATTTATTAATGGATTCTCATGCAAAAGGATGGCCTATATCTATTCAAGTGGGCTTGTAGTGGGATTAGTTCGCCAAAGTCTAGGTTCTCTAAAAGAATGTGATTTATTTGGGGAATAAATGAATCGTTACTTCTTGATCAAAGTCAAGATTGTAAAATTTTTTAAGGATAACGTGGTCATTAACATCTTTAATTGTATCGAAAACCAAAATGCATATGTGCTGGTTTGCAAGTCATTACATCCCACTATCATTGAACTAATTCGGAAAAAAACGAATGGAATTTAACTAACCATGTAATCTAACCTTAAAATTTCTCGAAAAACATATAATCATTAGTTCGCGCCGTGTATCGATTTATATATAATTGGGTATAATAACCAATAAATGTAACTCACCCCTCAAAAGAATATCCGTTTTTTTTCCATATCAATCACGGGTATATAGTTCCTTTTTATTAATTTCTTCGAATTTTTTTAAATAAGGGTCCTCGGTATCATCACGTAGAAAAGTGTATTCCCACTATGCTTTAGTTTTTAGACTTGAAAGCAGAAAAGTGTGGCTAACCAAGAAAGTCAAGGTCAAACATTTCAGCTCCAACGAAAACGGGGCCCAGTGAACAGAAACCGATCCCTTTCTTGGCTGAATTTTTGCTTTCTAAAAATGGTCGATAGTTTGCCACAATAAAAGACTTCATTGCATTTTCTACAAAAATGATCAGTGTAATTCAAAGGTTCGGTAAGATTTAGGACTTCAAGTGTACCTTCTTTTATTTATTTATTAAGGATTTGTTAAACAATGCGTCCGAAACACTTGCTAACAAACTGAGTATAATTCGCTATCTTTAATCTATCGATTGTTCTCAAGTTATGCGTAATCAACACCTTGAAAATTGAACCGTTCCTTATTTAGTATGCTTAACAAGTATTCTAAAGGCACTTGTTAACATGACCAATTTACTAAGTTTAACAAGATAATGCCGTAGTTTGCCCTTTTTTTAAAGAAGCTCGTTCTTTTATCATCATAAGGTATAGGCAGGAACCTTGAGGGCCGGCGTAGTTAGCCGGGCGTCGCGACAGTTCCGGCTTCAAAATTGAAGGTTTCCCATTAAACTCCCACGAACTATGCTCGAAGGAAACGTTCTGCGTTAGGGGCACCCCATTGGGAGTGCTAAAAAAGGCCCGGTATCCCAAAAACTTGGACCACTCAATTGATCGGAACTAGTTTTTTGGGGCTAAAATTGGCCAAGTTGAGCTACCCGGCCTGACGGTTTCTTTCTCTTCGAGTCGGTCATGGCCGAACAAATTAGAACGAGTTAACCCTAATTTGTAAGCTCTCGCTCTCCGTTCTAAGTCATTATCTCTACCTCTGGCTCTCTGACTCACCACCACTAATTAGCCTCGCCGTCTTTGCCTTACATCTCTATCCAACTTTCGAAATCTCTTATTTTGCTCATGATGAAACTCGTCCGCCACGTTAGATTTGGAGGTCCAACAACACATTTGATCTGGCTAGCTCGGTGGAAAATGCCATCAAATTTTAGGCTCCGCTTGTTTTGTGAAGAGCGAACAATTTGGAAAGCTCTTTTTTTCCTAAACACGATCGATTGTATCTCTTAAAAAGAAGAATAAACGACAATATCCTTATCGTCCACAAAAAAATCTAGACATAAATAGCCATTGGTAATCAAAACATTTATTATCGGACTAATTATTTCAAGCGATAGAAGCGATCAAATTTAGAAAAATATTTTTGAAATCATTCATTTTTTGCGAAGCAACCGGAGCTCTCGAACCCCAATGCGCAGAAGAGACGTTGAGAATTTCGAGTGCTGTTCCCTTCGACCCATGGACAGGCCCATCGCCATTTCCCTTGGGCCAAAGAATGGGCCTTGTTACTAAATCGGGCCGAGCCCGGTGATGGTCCAATAAGCCCCGACCGAACAATGGGAATTACTGCAAAGGGAGAGTTTCCCAGAATGGGATGAGATTTAGTACAAAACCCAACTGAGATTAGATTAAATTGAGGATATTGATTTAGTAATGGAACCTCGTTAATGCACAAAACCCTTTTCTATATATCCATACATACATATATATATATATATGTATGTATAATTGCCTCCCGAGCGTGCCATCTGGGATTGGATATTGCTAGAATGACTCTCTCCTAGTTTTAGAAAAAAAAATTATTCTAGTGTTTTCTTCACATCTGTAAGAATTAACCGTCCCATACTCCCGATTTAGAGTTTTATATGTCGGGCGAACTCAAAGAAATAACTTTGTATCATGTCTTTATATAGATAGGATAACTGGTTCTTACTTTTATTCCCCTTTATCATTACGTGCGCTCTTTGTATTCCCGATACATAAAAAAATTTACCAAAAAAGTCATAAACCTATTGTATTGACAACGATTCAATTCATCCGACCAATTTAGATCGGAAATTGCTGACTTGGACGCTAGCGGTTCTACGTGGCACGGCCGGCACTGATGTGGACAAGTTTATAATTTTTAAATATTTTTCAAATTTTTTCTCTTTTTTTTTTCCTTTTTCTTTACCCTCTTGACCGTGCGAGGTCACTGGTCAGCCATCACTGGCCACAGGCCGGTCTGGGTGAGGGCTTCCAATCCCTTGCCAGCCACAGTGAGGGTGCCGAGCCATCTCCGGTCGCAAGCGAGGGCGTCGGGCCCTCGCCCAGCGCCGGTCGTGCCACTTATGGCCGTTGGCATTCAAATCAGCGATTTCGACTTAAATTGGTGAGATGGACTAAAGTGGTATTAATGTAGTAGGTTTACGACTTTTTTGTTGCTTCTTTTTCTTCTAAAAAGGGGAGTCCCATCTCCCCAGAGCGATCAGAATTGTCCCAACTTATTTCGAGGGGCAATCACAGGACTACCGCTCGACACGTACTTGTCTTGTCACGATCGTATTCTTCTGCGCACAAAACGAAATTATAATTAAGCAAAGGAGAGCATAAGATAAGTACGTAAACAAAACAAGAAAATAAAGAAAGACAAAGACAGTTAACGAAGAAATCAGAGCTTGGGTGTGGGGGGGGGGCAAGTCACACTTGTCCACCCAATCCACGGCGACAGACCAAAGTTTTCCTAATCTTTATTAATTTGTAATTATGGCAAAGTGAAGGCCCCCGACGGTCAAACCTTAGCAAAACGCTAATTACAAACTCAAGACTACTAATGTCAATTATTCCGTCGCCACTCGTAATCCTAATCCCCCCTTTTAACCCATAACCCCTCCAAAAAAAAGCCCCGAAAACGACACCGCATCCCCCCCTCCTTCTCCTCCTCCTCCTTCTTCATCCCCTTTTCGGCCCGTTTGGTTCGGCTTTTCAAATGCTATTTGGAGGAATGCAAATACCTTTAAGTGAAAGCCACTTGGGGAAATGCAAGTGGTGTTTGGTAAAAAATCATTTGAAAGCCATTTAGGGAAATGCAATTGTGTTTGGTAAATTCCTTTTTACAAATGGGCTTTGGGAGGTTTTTTTTTTTTTTTTTTTAAGTACCCTTCGCCGGCTCCGGCGAAGGGCTACGGCCGCCGGTAAGCCAGATCTGGTGCCGGCGGCCATCGCTCGAGGAGGCCTGAGGTCGCACGACCTTAGGCCGTCGCCGCCTGGGTTGCGCAACCGCCCAGGCGCCAGGCCGTCGCCGCTGGGTTGCGCGACCGCCCAGGCGCCCGGCCGTCGCCGGCCCAGGGTCGCGCGACCCAGGCGACGGCAGGCTGGGCGGTCGCGCGACCCTGGGCGGCCGTCGCTCGAGGTAGTGTGACCCAGGCGGCAACGGCCTGGGCGGTCGCCCGACCCCAGGTGGCCGTCGCCTGGGTCGGGCGACCTTGCCGGCCCCTCACCGGCCGCCCTAGCCGGCCATCCTAGCCCGCCACGCTTTGCTGAAGATTTTTTTTTTTTTTTGGAACAGTCAGCATTTGTGGAATGACGAAAGCCCAAAGCTGGTCCGGACCAGTTTTGGGCTTTCGTCATTCCAAATGCCAGCTTTCGGCTTTCCGGACTGGGAAAGCTGAACCAAACGGTTCAGCATTTTGGGAAGGGGCTTTCGGCCTCGAAAGACTCTTCTTCTCAAAGCTGAACCAAACGGGTTCGTCTTCTTCCCCCATCGATTTGGGTTTTTTTTTTTTTTTTTTTTGGGGGCCAAAAAACCTCTCCGACTTCCAAAAGCGAACTCCCAAAAAAAAAAAAAAAAACCGGAAAGAAAGAAAGAAAGTCAAGTAAAACGAAACTCGAGCGAAGCAAAACGACGACGACGACGATAAAAAAGAAAAAGAAAAAAAAAACCAGTCAAAAGTCGCATCTCCCTCATCCTTCAACTCTCTCTTTCTCCTCTCTCTCTCTCTCTCTATCTCTATCTCTGACTGGGTCAATGGCCGCTCATTCTCCACCACCACCCCCCCTCCTCCTCTTCCTCTTCCTCCTCCTCCTATCCTCCTCCCCTTAACCCCCCCCCCACCACCACTCCTCCTCCTCCCTCCTCCGATCCCAGACTAAACCCCCTCCTCCATGGCCGCCTCCTCCGCCGCCGTCGCGGCGGCCGTCCTCTGCATCCACTGGCTGCTGCTGCTGCTGCTGCTCGCCGCCGCCATCGAGGACGACGTGCTGTGCCTCGAGGGGGTGAAGAGCTCCCTCGCCGACCCCAAGGGCTCCATCGCCTCGTGGACCTTCGCCAACACCTCCGCCTCCCACATCTGCAACCTCGAGGGCGTGGCCTGCTGGAACCTCAACGAGAACCGCATCATCAGCATCCAGCTCACCGGGTTCGAGCTCTCCGGCGGCCTCCCCGAGTCGCTCAAGAACTGCCACAGCCTCCAGACGCTGGATCTCTCCCAGAACAAGCTCGACGGGCCCATCCCGCCCCAAATCTGCCAGTGGCTCCCCTACCTCGTCAAGCTCGATCTCTCCTCCAACTCCCTCTCCGGCCCGATCCCCAGCCAGATCGCCGACTGTAAGTTCTTGAACAACTTGATTCTGAGCGACAACAAGCTGTCCGGCCCCATTCCTTACGAGGTGGGTCGCCTGGACCGGTTGAAGCAGTTCTCCGTCCAGGGCAATCGTCTCTCCGGATCTATACCGTCGGTGCTGTCCAAATTCAGTTCCGACGATTTCTCCGGCAACGATGGTCTGTGCGGTAAGCCTCTTAAGTCGTGTGGGGGGCTGAGCAAGAAGAGCCTTGCTATAATTATCGCTGCGGGCGTTCTTGGAGCTGCGGGATCGCTGTTGCTAGGGTTTGGGCTCTGGTGGTGGTACTTTGGTGGAGCTAGTAGGAAGAAGAGAGGATATGGCGCTGCTGCTGATAAGGATGATAGTAGCTGGATTGAGTGGTTGAGAGCGTATAAGCTTGTTCAGGTGTCTTTGTTTCAGAAGCCCCTCGTGAAGGTCAAATTGGCCGATCTTCTTGCTGCTACTAACAGTTTTGATGCTCAGAGCATTGTGATTTCCACGAGAACAGGAGTTTCTTATAAGGCTGTGTTGGCCGATGGCTCGGCTCTCGCCGTGAAGAGGCTCAGCACCTGTTCGCTCGGCGAGAAGCAGTTCAAATCAGAGATGAACAGGTTGGGGCAGCTTAGGCATCCCAATTTGGTGCCTCTTTTGGGTTATTGTGTTGTCGTGGAAGAAAAGCTGTTGGTGTATAAGTACATGCCTGGTGGGACTCTGTTTTCCCATCTACACGTGAATGGTCATGGCATGACCGGTCAGTATAGCTCATTGGATTGGCCTACCAGGCTTAGAATAGGTGTGGGTGCCGCGAGAGGGCTCGCTTGGCTTCACCACGGGTGCCAGCCCCCGTATTTGCTCCAGAACATTAGCTCTCACGTGATTCTCCTCGATGACGATTTGGATGCGCGAATAACTGACTTTGGGTTGGCAAGACTAGTCAATCCTCGGGATTCGAATGACAGCTCATATCGCAATGGAGATTTGGGTGAGTTTGGTTATGTGGCTCCTGAGTACTCGAGCACTATGGTTGCCTCTCTAAAGGGCGATGTCTATGGTTTTGGAGTGGTACTCTTGGAATTGGCGACTGGCCAGAAGCCATTGGAAATCTGCAATGTGGAGCAAGTATTCAAGGGAAATCTGGTGGATTGGGTCAACCAGTTGACTAGCAGTGGTCGAAGCAAGGATGCAATCGATCGATCTATCTGTGGGAGAGCACACGATGACGAAATTTTGCAGTTTCTGAAAGTTGCTTGTTCTTGTGTGGTTTCTAGGCCTAAGGATAGGCCTTCCATGTATCAAGTATACGAGTCGCTGAGGATCATTGGTGAGAGACATGGTTTTTCAGAAGCAGATGACGAATTCCCGTTGATCTTCAAACAAGATTCTGACAATAAAGAGTAGCCTGAGAATCTCCGCATTTGGGTCTTTGCATCTTATGCTATGTTCTGAATGATGTCTTTTGCTGGTTTCTACTCCATGGGGCTATCCAGTTCTTCTGGCAATTGCTGGATAATTTATGTATCATACAAGAACCATCATCTGATGTAGCATTCTACATAGTTTGGGGAAGTAATGTTGTCAATCCGAAAAAGGTACTTCCTGTTCTTTGGGTGCCCTGTTGTTCATTCACTAGGTACTTACCGGTATATTTTCGAAATGATGCCCTCTTTAGTGTCTACTAAGCTTATATTTGTTTGACCATATTGCAATTCATGCTTCTTCTCTAGCACGGAGTTCTTTCGTCCATTAACTTCCTTTCGCGAACATGGAATTTCAGTCTACTTCAGATCAGTGGAGCAGGTTTCAGTACATCGCAATGTACTTCTGAGTCTGAGGTCTTGGAGATTCCTAATCGAATCTGATGTCGTCTAGGATTTTCATGAGAATCATTTACTGGTAGATCTTTTGTTCCTCCTGCCCAGAGAATCAATGGCTTTAATTGCAACCTTACTTAGAAGTACTTTATGTTTTGGAAACCATTCAATGCAAGCTAGAGGGAAGGTTCTTCGTTGCATTCATTACTGTGGGGGAAGAAAATTCTCTGGAAGCACCCTTTATCATGACTGATGTTCGTCTTAGCTGTGAAGGATACGCCGGGACCACATATATGGCAATGAGAGTTAGCTATGGGAATTTTTGTGTTTAACCAATCAGTGAATAGACATGGCATCACTGCTTGGCATATCCCATTGATGGCACTGTCACAGCATAAAACTTCCTTCCATTAGACTGCATATCTCCCTTCGTTTTATTTTTTGGTCCAAAATCTCCCTTCGTTTTATCTTTTGGTCGCAAATCTCCCTTCGTTTGAACTTGCTTGTATGTTGCCTTTGGATAAAAGTCATGACTAAGAAGCGTGCAAACTAATGGAAGTTTTTGCCGCGTTAATGAGCGATCCACTAATTTGTGGAGGCTTATTAGTTAAAGCAAGAGGGAACCTTAAAGGAATAGTAGTTAAGTGCATAATTAACCAAAGAGGATGGAACGTTGACCGGCTTGCCAAGGAAGGAGAAGAGTGGGGAATATCGACAGTTTAAAGAAAGTCCATCAGCTTTTTGAATGATTTGATAGTAGAAGTTAATGGCCGGGTCATTATGTCGAGGTTTTTTGCGGAAACTCCCCGCTTTACTACTTTGCTAGGACGGAAGCTTGCTTTTGCGTTTGTTAATCATTGTTCTCCAAGTCCCAGTTATGCCTGTAACGCTGTTGTCTTTTCTTGAAATGATTGTCCTTTTGAGGTTTCAATAATTTTTGAAGAGCAATCAGAGTGAATTTTTCGATCCTTGTCAAAGTTTCGTAGAGTTTGGTTCAAGAATGCCTTGGACACTTCTTAAGTAAGCCAATGGGTCTATTGCGGTCTCCAATTCATTAATCGAATGTTTTCTTAGTTACTTATTTATCTTGATGACCATATTAAGCGCACTCATTGGAGAAACTGTCGTGTACTAGTCTGTCCAATCAAATTGACAACAGTAAAAGTCTTGGGTCACGGTTTGAACTCACTATATAGCAGACAAAATTCATCCATTTTATATTATAAATAGTTTCGATTGAAGTCTGTTTATTTCAGTGGTGACAACTGACAAGAAATCTGTTTCTAGTGTGAGTGTCCACCTCAATCATTCACTAGCAAAGGTTTCATTTTATTATTTCTAATGAGGTTATCAAGATTGACTATTCTTCCTCAGCTAACCCAAAGATTGGGAAGATTGCCCTGAATTCATGATTCTGTATGGAGGAGCAACCCGCATCTAAGACTCCGACAAGCATCTCGTCGCGAGGCTCATTTTGAGTTGTTGGTCATAGGGCACGGTCTTCGAGCTCATCTCACGTAAAAATTGGAGTCTTAAGACTAAACTAGCCCCCAAAGAATCAATCCTTGAACAATTTCAGATTGAACTTTCCTTTCGATGTGAATATAGTACCCCTCCTCGCCCCCTCTTTCGTAAATAGAAAAGCCTCACTATCATCCATGTGGATCCGCTTCAACAAAAGTTAAGCAATCATCGATATTCATTCGACCTTTTCATTTGGGTTGAACTGAAGATGGGGGACGATTGTACCTAAAATCTCATCTATGAATACCATGAGTTCTCATTTTGTAAGTACAATAAAAAGAGATTTTGGCATCAATTCTAAATCATCCATAGAACTTTTGCCTGATTCACCTCAAGGTCTTAGCCCCATTCGGTGATAAAGGTGCACTTTTCCATTCTGGAGTATGCAATATTTAATCTTTAATGACTTTTGCCCCTTTTACTACAAAAAGAACAAAAAAAGAATTTAGTGGTGACTAAATTCGAATACCTTGACGAAAATGTTGCACTGCTTCTGTCCTCCAAGAATTCTAGATTTTTCTAGGCCACTCCTTAAGTATCTGAATATTTTCTTGTAAGATATTTTAAGTAGAAATGTATGGCTAATAGATTGACCACATCTAGTATTTTCTTGATTTTCTAGACCGCTTCTAATATGTCTAGATATTTTCTTGTAAGATATTTTTAAGTAGAAATGTGTGGCTAATAGATTGGCCACATCTAGTATTTTCTAGAAATATCTAGGAAGTAATTACTCCTCCTTGTTAGGCCTATAAATAGTCGAGAAGCACATCCATTTGGGTGTGTGCTTGGCACTCATGTAAGTGTGTGTGAGCGTGCGCTTGGCTCCTAAGTATTTGCGTGTGTAAGAATTTCTCCCAACTGATAGTATAGATAGTGCCTCTATTAAAATGAGTGTTTTCTTTAAGTGAGCTTTGTGCCTTTCTCAATAAGTGGTCAGAGCCACATTTCCGCACTCAGCAAGTGGTATTAGAGCAGGCGGTTGGGGGCCTTGAACCTAGCGATAAGGAGTCGTGTTACGTGAAGAAGGTGGTTCGGGGCCATTGTACATGAGTAGGCAGTTAGGGATCAGCGTATACAGAGTTCAGCTAGTGCACAGTCAGGGATTGTGATATGTTGATTTGGGATCAAGCCTACTTGGTATAGTGCCAAGAATTATAACCAAGTCAAGATGGCGGACATTTCGAGTTCGGTTAGCAGCATCAAGAAGCTCAACAACTTCGATCATAATAATTGCAGTACCCACATGTAGTTTCACCTACTGGGTCGAGATTTGTGTGATATTGTTGGTGGCAACAACACCACACCACCCACGTATGCAGAAGAGTTGAGGAAGTGGAAGATAAAGGCTAGTAAGGTTCTTTATCTTCTTGCTATCACCGTAGAAGATGAGTTGTTACAACATATCAAGAGCGCAAAGATCTTGAAGGAGGCATGGGACACTTTGGCAACGTTATTCACGAGGACGAACGATGCCAAACTACAAGGTTAGGTTAGGAAATGAGTTACCATTGGTGTTGAATAAGTTATGAATGTGCGTCAATATTTCTCCAAAGTTAAATACCTTTTGTGAAGAACTTCCAAATATTAGATCCTTAGAATGGCATTTCAGAGACTAGGATGAGAAGAATTATCATTCACGGGTTATGGCCAGAGGTATTGTTATAGCCACCTATGGATGGGCTAAAGTGTTAGTGGTCTGCCCTAAAAATCAATCAAGGTTAATACTCTAATATTAGTTGTAGATTAGGTTATGTCGGAAAACCGATCTTCACTATACTTAGGTAGTCATAATGTCTTGCTAGAGACCGCTTATGATTTGTGGGCTAAAAGAGTTTTGGGCACACTGCTAATGTTTAGTGAATCTACAGGGTCGCACACAATAGCGAACGGACTTAATATTGTCTGTGCGCCTTGATCTACTTAAGAAGTAGATTTTAATTTATTCTCCTATTTAAATTATCTATGCGGTCGTGCGCGTTATGAGATAACGATTAAACGTACGATTGAAAGTGGACGGTTTGGCGGGCCTAAATAGCCCGGCCCACTTCTTTTAATTCCGCTAGATAATGAGGCTGTATAAATAGATAGAGAATCGTTCTCTGTCTAGGGTTTTTTCGATAGAGTATCGAAAATCAAAAGGCGTTCAAGAAAAAGGAACTTCAAGATCTTTCGCTAGCACGTGCATCGTTGGAGAATTCCGTTCGTGTGTGTGGATACCGGTAGAGGCGCAACACTTGGGGCGCTCATCCAGACACAATCATTTGCTGATTTATCTTCGATCTGCAAAAGGTACGTATCGAAATTCCTTTTCGATTTCAATATACATATGGATCCTGTCTAGGGTTCTATATTCCGCTGCGTTGTTTTTCGTTGATGAACCCTTCATAAAGACCTAACTCGGACTGAGTTGGAAAATATATTGGCCCACCAAGAGGCTTTTGACAGGCAGGTGTTTAAGGTCTCATTTAAGGATGATAAAAGTCTCAATTAAGGCTTTTGACCCAACTCCTGTATCTTGTGAATGGGTTTACAAACTTAAAACTTGATCAAATGGGTCTATAGAAATATATAAGGTGTGTTTAGTTGCTCAAGGATTCTTTTGAAAGTACGAGTTAAAGATGAAACCTTTAACCCACAGGCAAAGGTTATTACAGTTCGAGTCTTATTAGTACTTGTAGCAAGCAAGTCATGAAAGTCGTGGCAAATGGATATGAAAAAAGTATTTTTACATGGAGAGTTGGATCATAATATATATATGGAATAGCTGAATGGTTTCAAGAGTGAGATTCATCTAGGCTATGCTTGTAAATTAAAGAAAGTGCTTTATGGCTTAAACTAGCCCCAAGAGTGGGGATTAGAAAATTGCAGAATTCTTGATGCAAAGTGACCACTTAGTAGTTATAGCAAACTCGAGCTTGTTTGTGAAGGCGGAAGACGGAAAGCTTGTAGCAACACTGATCTATGTGGATGATCTAATCATTACCGGAGATGGTGTAAAGGAGATATGTCAAATAAGAGCCAACCTCTTAGTTTGATTTTAGATGAAGGAGCTTGGAGAACTGAAAAACTCTGGGACTCGAGTTTAAGCAAAATAAGGACATGTCAACAGAATTATGCACGTGATCTGCCATAAAAGTTTGGACTGCTTAATTGCAAGCTGGTATCTACGCCTATGGATGGAATATAAAGCTATGTGCAGTCGAAGGACGAGAATTGGAAAATTCAGCTATGTACATGCAATTAATGGGTAGTTTTATCTATCTAAGGATAACACAGTGTGGCATTATCTTCACGGTAGGAGTAGCAAGCCGGTTGATGGAGAGACCACGAAAGCCTCACTTGGGTGCAGTCAGACAAATACTAAGGTTTGTAAAGGGTACATTTAATCTTGGGCTCTTGTATAAGAAAGAAGAATCGTGTGAGGTAGTAGGCATTGCAATGCTAACTTCCTAGAGATCATGACGCAAAGCAATCAACTACCGGATGTCACAGTGTAGTAAAAGATAGCCAAGTTTGTCATTGTCTATAGCAGAAGCTAAGTTTAGAGCAACGAGAATAGCAGCTCAAGAGAGTACATGACTAGTATATTTGATGGAGGATCTTCATCAACTGCTAGACTACTCGACACAGCTGTACTCTGATAATCTATTACCCCTAAGCTTGGTAGAGAATCTAATTTTTCATGCAAAGACTAAGCATGTAGAAGTATACCATCACTTCTTGCAAGAAAAAAAGTACTACTAGGTGAGATAGAGCTGGAGTACGCCAAAACAAGTGATCAAGCTACAAATATCTTCAGAAGGGGAATTGGAACAACAAAGTCTGAAGAATTTCAAAAGCAACTTGGCATGGTTGCTAGATCCGCATTGACAGAAGAGTAATCAGTGAGGGGGAGTATTGAAGAAAATGTTGCATCTCCTCTCTTATCCAAGAATTCTAGATTTTTCAAGGCTATTCCTTAAATATCTAGATATTTTCTCGTAAAATATTTTACATAGGAATATGTGGATGATAGATAGACCTTATCTAGTATCCTCTAGATTTTCCTAGGCTACTTCTTAAATATTTAAATATTTTCTTGTAAGATATTTTGAAGTAGAAATGTGTGGCTAATGGATTGGCCACATCTCTCTAGCTCTGAAAATGTTTAGAAGGTAATAATAGTCGAGAAGTGCTCACATATGGGTGTGTGCTGGGCACCCATGTAAGTGTGTCTGTGTGTGTGCTTGGCTCCTAAGTGTTTGTGTGTGTAAAAGTTCTCCCAACCAATATTGCGGAAAGTGCCTCTAATAAAGAGAGTGTTTTCTTTAAATGAGCTTTGTGCCTTTCTCAACAAGTAATATAGAGTGGTACAAATAGTTAGAATTGTGTCAAAGCAAAGTATAGGGACCAAAAAAAACTTCCAAAATTACAATTACGACGAGTATAACTTTTCCTTGTTTTGCCTAGCCTTGACAAGCCCCTTTCTAAGCGTCCAAGACTAAAATTATTCACAAAAAGTTACAGTGAAGAAAGTAAAAACTCAAATTTAAAAAGCACTAACATGACACAAGATAGAAAAGGCAGAGACTCCATATGATTCACATCTAACCAGCAAGTAGTGCCTCTCTCACCCAACAACTACATCTCTGGATATTTGTACTCCCTTGCCTTTTTGTCTTCCTGGCGAGTCAGAGTGAAGATGGTGTCCAGATAAGAAAGTGGATAACATAAGCTGTCGTCCTTCCCCTTCTCTGCATCAGCACATGCTCTTCTGGGGCCACATCCAAATATCAATGCCCAAAGCAACAGAGACCAAGTGCGTTCCCAAATCCGGAAAACACCGCCAAGATCTATGGACGGGGGTCCTCACCCAATCCATTCATTCTGAATTTTGACTTACTACCGAAATGCCATGTGCTCAATAATGCTTCAATTGAATTATCGTTCATCTGTAAGAGAAAGTCCAAATGCAATAGAATTTTCTCAAGTTCTCTGCCTGTAGTCTTATACTGGTCGCCTCAGAGCTAAGCGGTGCTCAATGCTTGTCTGTTAGCCAATTGATCACGGAGGCACCGTCGCGAGAAGCTTCGTATAGCCAGGGCAGAACTGGCTCAAATGGCTCTTTAGGAAGACCGGAGACAACAATCTTGAGCCTCACCAGTTTAAAGAGATTCAGAGCGCTGACTTAGCGTAGGTCGGAACTTACAGGGCAAGGAATTTCATTACTTTAGAACTTGGTGACTTCTAAAACTCAGCACCATATGACGCTTAATAATCGAAGCTACCGTGCAAGCAAACTCCATTGCAGTAAATTCACAGATGACGTTTATCCTGCGAAAAGAAACCTAATGGACTTTACTTCGTGCATGAAGGAAGAAATGCTCCAAAAGAGTTCATAAACAGTGTTACAAACGAAGAACCAAAAACAATTTCCACTTTACGGCTCATCCACCACCCAAAACAAACTTTCGAGAACCTCGTGCCCACGATGCTCTCTATTCGAGTAAACTCATTACAGTTTGGTCTACTAAATTTGAAAATGGAAAACTTTCAACTGCTTCAAAAATTTTCTACTCGGATTGCAGAACAAGATAGACCATGTTATTGCCGCCCCCCCTTCTTTCGACGAATATACAGGACAAACAAGAACGCTGATGCCTTCCATCTTGCTCTTCAAGTTCCTTGATTTCAACAAGGCGGCAAGACAAGCTCCAAACAGAAGAATGGCATTGCTCATGACTCTGAAGTCTGATCTTAAAGATGAAATTCTTTTTCCATAAGACACATCAACAGCAAGATGGCGTCAAACCTGAATTACAAGCAGCAAGTGCAGTTCTTGAATCACAAGAAATAATCAGGAGTCTTGCGTGTTGTGTCCGGTTCAATTTGACGTGGTGCTGGGTCAAATTGAAGAAAATTCTGATCCATATTCTCTCCAATCTCAAGTATTGCAGCCATATTTCCACACCGATAACAATAATTGGGTGCACTAAATACAGTGACCACATTTTTTTCCTAGCAAGATGTGAATGAGCATAAAGAATGGGTTAGACATGAAATGGCAATATATGCAAATGGAAAAGAAAAGAGGAACTCCCTGTTCTAGTTGACAGACCTGACACCAATTGTATCCTTCCATGACAAGCTGATGGGCTCTCGATATCAGAGTGAGACCATTAGTGTGATTAAAATTAGCAGCAATGTCCTGACCAAAGGTATAACCAGCACCACGTGGAGATATTCCCCAGCCACAGCGGTCATCTGGATCAGACCACAAGAGGTCGCACATTGGTCCTTCATGAGGAACCTGCACGATGTACAATCAAATCAGGGCATGCAGTTCATCCAATGAATACTTATAATGCACTGGTCAGACTCAGATATGCTAATTTTGGGGAAAATGGTTGTCATGTCAACAAAATGGCATCAGAAAGGAAACAAATGGAAAGAAAAAGTTTATTTGATGTGTATACAATGTGACAAAATGACCTAGCATGAAGTAACTAAGCAAATGTTTTTGTGAGTTACATATTAAATAACTAGAAATTACATATGAACATGTTCTGAAATAGAAAAACTGAATTGTTTAGGTGATATCACATGATGTCAAGAGGTATGTCACCAAACAGACATTTTCTAAATCATGATAATCACCAGTGAGAGCACTCATTTCATCTGGATAAGAAAATTGATATTCTAACCAGGGCACATCTCAATTTAGACATTGCTCAATCCCCTCTCTAAAGGCAAGTATATTAACTTTCAGAAACACTGAATTCATACTGTCAACAATATATCCACATCTCCTTTTGGATAGCATGTCATACAAAAAAATGTATATATAATGTTAAGCAATCCATACCTCTTGTATACGGTCCAAGGCTCGAATATTGTCTAGTGTATCCAAAGATGGTGATAGACCTCCATGCAAACAAAAGATCTAGAACATGAAAGTACTATAGTGAGTATATAACATGTAGGTAGCTCATGCAGTGAAGTGGAACATGTAACTACAAACCTGACTCTCAATAAGAGCAGTAAGTGGAAGATAATCAAACAAGTCGGTGAAATATTTCCAGACATTGGCATTTCCATACTTTCTCAAACATTCATCATAGAAACCATACCTGAAATTTATGAAATACTTACGTCAAGAGTAAAGCAGACCTTAAAAGCTTAACCATACTATGCATGTTCATGAATGTCACATGAGTGCCTCTACTGTGTGCATGCCAATCCATTTTGCTTAATTTTTTGGTTGAGAGAGAGAGAGAGAGAGAGAGAGAGAGAGAGAGAGAGAGAGAGAGGGAGATCCGAGATTTTCCACTCAGAAAAGATTATTCTATATTAGCATTTCAGCATTTTCATTTCTGAAACAAAGTTTTCATTGAACCCATTTTTGTGTGTGTGTTTGAGAGAGAGAGAGAGAGAGAGAGAGAGAGAGAGAGAGAGAGAGAGACAGACAGAGAGATCCAAGATTTTCCTCTCAGAAAAGATTATTCTATATTAGCATTTCAGCATTTTCATTTCTGAAACAAAGTTTTCATTGAACCCGTTTGTAAATAGTCCAAACTCCAGAGCGCCATCACTCGTGTAAGGCCAAATCACTCTTAAAACAAACTTCGATTCATATTCCAAGCACCATACCCTAGTTACCCTTCTTTTCAAGTTGCATAGAAGCAATATATTCCAAGTCTTCGAGCAGTTCATTCCTCATATGTCAATTTTCTTAGCTAATTATTCATCGATCCAAACAGCAAGCTGAATAGTCATTAGTTACACCAGTGGACAACAAACAGAATAACAATAGAGATAGAATAAGAGAGTTTTAGAGTTCAACTAGTACTCTGCTGGTTGTATAAGGATCAGATAATTTTATCACAAAGAATGCTAACACATATCTTAGATAGTCATGGATAAACAAAAAAAGGGAAGATACAGCGGCAAAGAGTGACTGAAATTGCTGGAGCAAAGAGTCTCACAATAAAATTAAAGACAATGTAAATCAGCACTTAAGTGGATATTAAGAATCAATGAAAACCAGTGGTCTCGTTATATAATATCCAAGAGAAATATCTTGCTACCATCTAGCACACCCATGTAATGGGTAGTATACTAAGGACAAACATTATTGTGCAAAATTTACATTGCTTTCGCACGATGTATGGTCTTTAAAAACTAAGAAAGTGCCTTACACTTGTGTTATTTGCCGACTTTCATGATTTCCCCTAAGGATAGTGATTCTATCTCTATAGCGAACTTTCAAAGCCACTAAAAGCGTAACAGTCTCCACCGAGTAGTACCCCCGATCTGCATTTATAAAATGACGAATACGGTTAGGTACTTTCTGTACGATCATCGACCACTATAAGTGGCATCAATTACAGGTGTCTCAAAGGGAAATGCTATTAGATATGGATAAAGCTGGACACCAAGGACACCATCCCATATAGGATACTCCCAGAGTTGTGATAATGACAATACGAACAAACGACGCAAAATGCTAACATGTGAACAAGTCCTATAAAAAATTACTATGCCAATAATATTCCTCAACAGCAAGTGAAGGCACTTCTTTGATTAACCCTATCACGTCGCTCAAAGCATCTACCCATGCGGCATACATTGCAAAGACAATTCTCCTTCCCACCGCATCAACTCCGGCTCTAAGTACTTTTAAGTTGCAATTGCTCAACTATGGATTCCAAACAGGTGAATCATGGCTGTAACTAGTAACTACAATAGTTTTAAGGTACTGAAGTGAGATCTCAAGTCAATAATTTTCAATATGCACTTGACCAAAAGACAAGTTCGTAACACAGCAACAACACCTATACCACCCAACCTCAATCTACTGTTTCCAAAAATTGCCAACAAAATAAATTCACCAACAAAGGGAAAGCATGGCACATGTGGAATAAACCCATAAGGTAAGCATATAAAGAGAAGAAAGGCTTAGATCCGCCAAGAAAACTACTTCAAATTATGCTCACGCAAAAAACAACCAGACATTTTTTTTTAAGGCAAAGAACCACAAGTTACAATTTCTGATCCGCGATAACTTGAAGAAAAGCGATCTTTCAAATCCTTCACAGTGCTTGTATGCTCATTGAATATCACTAGCAGTATATACACTGTGGTGGCAATGCAGGGTATTCCAAAGTAATGGAGTTCAATTAGGGATGAATGCCATGAAGGTGTCCATGCTACCAATTCCCGTACTCCCAACTGAAGTAAACTTTCCGACCTGCACAACATTACTCTAACATACCCTCAGACATTACTCATTCCGGTCTTTTAACAACAGATTCAAAGATCACAGACTAGAAACCAATGAGCACGGAGCAGGATCAAGGTTGTCAAACTTCATATGCAAAGAACGCCCTGCCTGCACAAACATACTCCAGCGAGCCCCCATCTGGCGCTATGTAAACGAATCCGGAAATTTTGAAAAAAGAAAAGAAAACCCAATAATCATTCCTCTTTCTTTCCGTCTCTCGTGAACAAAGGAAAAAAAAAAGTATCACCATCATTGTCGTCGATCAGGATCACACAAGCAAAACCAAAATTGAAGCAGACAATCCACCATGGCAGAGAGCAATCTTCAGATCACACGACACCACACACAACATAGTTTGACATACATAAACTTATAATTCCACGTCCCGAAAACCACATAGCTCGCAAAAGTAAGCCATGTAAATAAACATTAGCTCCGAGACCAGAAACGCAAGGCGTAAAAAAGAAGAAGAAGAGGAGCTCACCAACATAATCTCCCATAAACAGATAATTGGTATCAGGCGCGTTGCCGCCTATCCTAAAGAGCTCGATGAGATCGTAGAACTGGCCGTGAATGTCCCCGCAGACCGTGACCGGGCACTTCACCGGCTGCACGTTCCACTCCTCCACGAGTATCGCCCTCGCCTGATCGCAGATCGTCTTCACCTCCGCCTCCGTCAGCGGCTTGCACTCCATCAGCTGCTCGATCTGGCGGTCCAGATCCGCGTGCGACGGCATCGCTCCGGTCGTCGCACCCCCCCCCTCCTCCCTCGCCCCCCCTCCTCGGTCCCTCCCCGCGGATCGGCAAATGGCCGGGCAGGGGTGGGGGCGGTTGGGACAAACGCGCGATCGCGCGGGCCGGATCGGTCGCGATCGAGGCGGAGCGTCGCCCCCTTCACTCGGCTCCTGTCGACGGGAACCGCTCGCCGAGCGCCGGGATCGGGATTTCGAATCCGAGCGATCCAGCGGGTCGCGATCTCGCAACCATCACGCACCTCGCGGAATTCGCCTCCTTCGCTCCTCTCCTCCTCTCCTCCTTCTTCCTCCTCCTCCTCCTCCTCCTGCTCCTTCGCAGTTTGGATGCAGCAGATGTTTCGAGGGACGAAATTGCACGAGAGAGAAAGGGAATGAAATGAAATTCAAATGCAAATGCAAATGCAAATGAATGAATAGGACAACGCTCCTCGGGGGGAGGAAGAAAAAGAGAAATTTTTAATCCCTTTCGTCGTCCTACGGTGGGTCCGCCCGAGTCAAATAGGAGAAGGGTGGCGACACGTTTCGATCCGGGGAGGACGGTTCCAGCAGCACTCGCCGTAGGGGCGGGCGCACCGGATCCGACATCCCCTGACCTCGTCGCCCGGGCTCCGAATTTGGGCTTCGCGATGTTTGTCGCTGCTTGGTTTGTGAATTAGGCCCAATGAAATGCATCGAAGGTGTCGTCTTATTTGATCGAGAACTATTTCAATAGCCTCACTTTTGTTCCGTATTTTTTTTAGATTAATAAAATTTCCAATCTTTTGTGTGTTTTTTTTTATAAAATGAATAAGATGTAGATTAATATAAGTATAAACGCATTCATCAACATAAAATAATAAGGGTGCGTTTGGTTCAGCATTCCCAAGGGCCTTTAGGGGAATACAAATACCTTTAACTTAAAGTCCCTTAGGGAAATGCAAATTGCGTTTGGTAAAAAATCCTTTGTGAAGCTACCTCGGTCCAAGTAGTGTTTTGGCCAATCTTATTTTGCAAAGGACTTTGGGATTTTTTTTATTAACAAAAAAAGCTTACCCTTCACCGGAATCGGCGATGGGCTATGGCCGCCGGCGAGGGGCTATGGCCGTCGCTGGGGTCGGGTGACTTCACCAGCCCCTCGTCGACCTCTCGACGGAGCTTCGCTGTCCCGATTTGGCCTCGGACGACTTTGGCCGGCGGCCCTCAGCCTAAAGAAGATGAACAGTCATGAGGGGCAAAATTGAAATATTAAAGAATTAGTGAGGATAGTTTGGGAAGGAAAAATTTGGTTTAAGCATTAGGCAAATGCTGAAAGCACAAAACTGGTTCGGACCAACCTTAGGCTTTTCAGCATTCCCAATGCTAGCTTTCAGCAGAAAGCCTATTGGAAATGCTCGTCAAACGCCTCAGTATTTCCCCAAAGGGGCTTTCGAGGTTGAGAGCCTCTTGGGAATGCTAAATCAAATGCACCCTAAATAGTAGGAAAGTCAACCCGATACAAGTCTAAATGAAGTTCTACTTTTACCACTATAGAGATCATTGGCTAAGATTGTAACATTCTGAATTTTCGATCATTTTCCCGGGATTTATGAAATGAATATTTGGCCAATGCACTTATAGTGAGATCTCACTCAGAACCGCGCATTCTAGGGATGCTAACCTTAGGGGTAAGGCTATTATGGGAATGAGTTCGCACGACCAAAGAACTCGACCTTGGTTCGACCTTCGACCATAAGGATTGTCGAGGAAATGTTTTGGGCCAACAGAGACCGGTCTATTTGATTGATCGTGTCCGAAGGGAACTAGTGACAGACCCTCACAATTATATGACAATCGAGGTTGCCTTGGTTCGAGCAAACATAAACGTGATTTGACTTAGTATCAGTCACGGGTCGAGAGCGCGTAATCCCAATGAGCCACCCGTTAGCGAGAGATAAGCTAAAAGTCGCGATTGTTCGATTTTAGTCATTTCTTGGAATTCGGGCCTGGGAATTAAGAATTTTGAAAGTGACAGTTTTGAGCGGCCGATGACGTTTTTGGCTTGGCCAACCTTGGGGCCACCCATTTCTGCAAAAAAATGGATTTCGGTTTGGGACCGGAAAAATGACCGTTTTGCCCCTGGAACCGCGAACGAATTTTGAGGGCTGGATTAAGTCGGGAGACTGAGAATTACCTTGTGTGGCCGAAAAATAAGAGGACAAGAATGCCCCTCTCCCTTTTTGGATAATTACTCTTTTGCCCTCGAATTATCGGATAAGGACAAAAGTGGGCCGTCGGATTTGGATAAGATTAAATCTCGGCCATTGGATCGGAGGGGTAGTTAGAGGGGTATTTTGGTAATTTCCGGAGTGTAATTAATGGCGGTAGAATATTTATATTCATTTCTCTCTCTCTCTCTCTCTCTCTCTCTCTCTCTCTCTCTCTCTCTCTCATTATTCTCTCCCTCTTTCTCTCTCCTCACCCCCCACCGATCGGTTCTCTCTCTCTCCCTCTCCCCCGTGCGTGAAGCCCCCTTGGCCGGCCACCAGCTCGCCACCGCCTGGTCGCCGCCCTCCCGCCGGTCATCGCCGCTGCTTCTTCTTCTTCCGGCCGCGCCTCACCGCCCACCGTCCACCCTTCTCTCTCTCTGTTTCACTGTTCCGATCAGCCCCGCCACCACCGAACCATCCCTGGTCCATACGACCAGATCGCCGTCCCCAGCCGCCCGTGAGCCGCCCGCCAGCCACCCGCCCACTGCAGCTCAGTCGCTCGCCCGCCTGATCGCCGGCGCCGCCGCCGCCGCTCGCTGCTGCTGTTCCGCCCGTTCCAGCCACCCATCCAGCTAGTTTGTCCCGCCTTTCTAGGGTAAGCGACTTCCCCAAACTCTCCCTAGGACCTCGGGTATTGCTAGACTCGTTTAGGACTCGAATTAAGTGGTTCGTGTGGCTATTTTGGAGTGTAGATCAAGGCTGGTTGTTTGGTCGTTATGGACTGAGTTAGTGATTGAAAATCTGTGGTTTAGTAAGCTCGGATAGGACTGAGGTGATGTGGAATGATCGTGACTAAATTGTGTGTTCAATTGGTAGTTTTATGATTTGTATGGGTTTAATTGGATAGTTGTACGACTTGTGATTGTTGGCTGGCTTGGAATATGTTGTGGGCTGACTATGTGCAGCCGTGTGTGCTATGTGTGTGGCCGTGAGGTGTGGTGGTGTGGTAGTGCGATTGCGCAGTGAGTTCGCGTGCCAAGCATGGGTGTTCGTGTGATGAGGATGTGCACTGCGAAGTGTGTGTGGAGTGTGAAATAGTGGGTGACCGTGTGTATGTGTGGCTGTGTGGTAAATGTGGCACGTGAGGTGCGAAGGTACGGATATGTAGGATTGATTGGAAAAGGTCCGTCCTGAGGCGTGTTCGTTTACGCGGGACAATGCCGTCCCTAACGAGGTGACGATGCCCGGCCCGACGGGGTGACAATGCCTGACGAGGTCAGAAAACCGTTGGTCTGATGCGTTTTACGCGGGCGCGGTAGTGAAGGCAAGTGAATGTAGGATTCCGTCCTGAGGCGTGTTCGTTTACGCGGGACGATGCCGTCCCTGACGAGGTGACGATGCCCTGCCCGACGGGGTGACGATGCCTGACGAGGTCAGAAGACCGTTGGCTTGATGCGTTTTACGCGGGCGCGGTAGTGGTGGAAAAGTGGTGATTGAGTTGGACTTGACTTGACGTGTGAGGATTGTGAGAGTTGACGTATGGCGTGAGTTCGTGTGCGAGTGTGATTTGTATCGCGTATTGTGGTACTCGATTATGGGGTAAAAACTGCTCGGCATGGTATGGGACATGTCCGAGTGGGTTTTGCCTTATAATCGAGGCACGCGCGCGGCTCTGATGCATTATTGTGGCATGTTGGTTGTGTTATTATCTGACGTGCAGGAACGTGCATGATGGGCTCTAGGTAGGATCGCATGTGATTGTTAGTTTGGTTAATTGTTATGTGTTGTGTGTTTCGTATGGCGGTACGTGAGAGCTTATGTGGGGTTTGGGGTTGTACACTTATTGAGATTCGTCTCATAGTTGTATAATCCACAATTTCAGACCCCCAACCTTAGACCCATGAGGCCCGCCTCCTCTTTTTGGAGTTTGAAGAGCCGCCCATGGTGTCTAGTGGAGCTGCAGGTGATCCTCTGGAGCAGAAACCAGAAGACTCATGAGCTGAATGAAGGAGGGCGACCAGTAGTTTCCCCCTAGGGCATTTTAGGGGTTGCGCAGAATAGATCGATCTATAGTGAAGTTAAGTTAACCAAGCCACCTGATCCTTTTGTTATGGCGGTAGTTGTGAATGCTCGTTTGTTAAGTATGTTTGTAATTTGATGTTTGTATGCTCGGTGCTAAGGTATTGTATAAATGAATGTTGTTGTTGTTATTTGACTGTTTTGTTAGTCTGCCCCGTCGTTGTCTTTATAGTCAAGGGTTTTGTATTCGCTTCCGCATGTGTTTCTGATGTTTGGGTTGGGTCGGCGATGTGCCTGGGACGTTGCAATCATTCTACTAGAGTGGGATGTCACGAGCTCGATGGAGGTTCGGGGCGTGACATCACTTGTTTGAATTGGTATCAGAGCAATGTTTGCTTGATATCAGTAAGGTCGAGACCTGGAGTGATAAGGAGCGACGACTTTGGGGTAGTCAGTTAGGGAGCCCTTCGTTAAATGTGTGTTTATGTTAATTGTGCATGTTCTGTGAGTAAGTGCCTGTGATTGCCGAATGGTTTATGGTGGTTGTTATGTTAATTGAGACGAATGTGCGGCAGGACTTGAGGTGAGTACAAGAACCCTGTTGGTTGTTTGATGATGTTGGCTTGATATCATGTGATTGGTTTGATGGTTGGCTGTGGGTTGTCGAGTGTTAGTTGTTGAGTTTTGTGCCTAGGGCGTGGACTAGTATAGTTGGCCTAGGTTCCTAATACTCGTATGGAATTATAGCAGGTAGGAGAGTGGTAAGAAGCTGATATAATGAGCAGCGAAGGAAGAGGTGTAGGAAGAGTCCCAAGAAGGGGCGCATGAAGAGGAACAAGAGGTGGATGTCGTGCTCGAGCTAGAGCTGTAGAGGACCTCGATGTGGGTGCTCGAGCGGTAGAAAATCGTGGAGTTGATGCTAGAGCTGCAGTGGACCCCAGAGTTGATGTTAGACCTGCGGAAGATCCGCGTATGAAAGGAGTTCTTAGGGTGTTAGAGAGGATTGGGAATATGTTGGACAGGCAAGCTTAGGAGCGAGATAATGCGACCGCCCAAGCTGCTGAGGCTGCAGCTGTTGTAGTTAATGAGAATGCTGGTAATGGAAATGGGAATCGGCAGATGCATAAGATAGTAGAACAATTTTTGAAATTGAAACCGCCCAAGTTTGAAGGAATAGGAGATCCGGAGGCTGCTTCTAAATGGATTGAGGAATTAGAAAAAGCTTTCGTGTTATTGGGGTGTACTGAAGTAGAGAAAGTGACGCTGGCAGTGTACCAGCTTCAGGGCAATGCGAACGACTGGTGGAAAGCCACGCAAGGCCGAGTGTTTCCTGCGGGTGTGGATCAGAATTGGACGGCCTTTGTTCAGGCTTTTAATGAGAAGTATTTCTCGGTAAGTGCCTGAGAAAGAAAGATGACAGCTTTTCTTAGATTGCAGCAAAATCAAATGACTGTGGATCAATACGAGGCTGAGTTTACCAGGCTGTCTAAATTTGCGCCGAGAATGGTAGAACATCCTGAGGATAAGGCGCGAAGGTTTAGGGATGGATTGAGGGCTGATATTCATAGTCAACTGATACCGGTAAATTTGAGGACTTATGAGGAATTATATGAGAAGGCCCAAGCTATCGAGCAGGATATGACGGATAGAGCCGCCGCGTCTGGATCACAGTATACCTCCACCACGGACGATCGTCAGCAAGAGAAAAAGCCGATGATGGAAAACCGACGTTTTGTCCCTCCGGCAAGAAGGAATATTGGGAAATCAGCACATCCGTCTAATTCAGCTCGTAGACGCTGTGGGAGACATCATGGGAGTGGTCCCTGCCCAAGTGTGACTAGGGCGTGCTTTGGGTGTGGGGGAATGGGACATCACATAAGGAGTTGCCCGAATCTTCAGGTTCGACCACCCCCAACATCGCAGACACCTCGGATTGAGAATCCGACTAATGTAGCCCCGCCGGCTAATTCGAATAGACCACCGGCACAAGGACGTGTGTACGCCCTAACGCGAAAGGGAATTGAGAATATGCCAGGCGAAAGTACAAGTAAGGTTTCTCTGTATAATTATGTGGCATATGTTTTATTGATCCGGGGGCGTCACACTCGTTTGTGTCTGCTCGATTTGTTAAATTGGCTAGATTGAAACCATTTTTAGAAGTGCAAGTGTGGGTGAATACACCATTGAGGAATAAAATATGCGTGTCGTTAGGGTGCTTAGACCGTAAAATTGTGATTGGTGGTGTAGGAAGCAGGATAGATTTGGCTGTTTTGACTAGGTAGAATTTTGATATGATTGTGAGCATGAATTGGTTAGTAAAACAGAATGTTGTAGTGGATTGTCTGTGGATCTGACGAATATTGAGACAGTCACTAAGTGTCCGAGGATGGAATTTGGAAGTTTTGAGGATGATATGCGAGCCCGATGATTTGGAGTTTAAGAAGAGATTTTAATCGGAAGTTCATAGGAGCAATTATAGTATTCACCGGACAGCATGAAAATGTACCAGAAATTTCGGTAGCATTATTGATGGGATGAAGTGGGAGAAATGAAGAAAGAAACGTCATCACCCCCATTTGTTGGATGGCTGAGTATAGTTGTAAATTTCGAGGACGAAATTTTTATTAGGGGGGAAGAATTGTAACATTCTGAATTTTCGATCCTTTTCCCGGGATTTATGAAATGAATATTTGGCCAATGCACTTATAGTGAGATCTCACCCAGAACCGCGCATTCTCGGGATGCTAACCTTAGGAGTAAGGTTATTATGGGATTGAGTTCGCACGACCAAAGAACTCGACTTTGGTTCGACCTTCGACCATAAGGATTGTTGAGGGAATGTTTTGGGCCAACAGAGACCGGTCTATTTGATTGATCGTGTCCGAAGGGAACTAGCGACAGACCCTCGCAATTATATGACAATCGAGGTCGCCTTGGTTCGAGCAAACTTAAACGTGATTTGACTTAGTGTCGGTCACGGGTCGAGAGCGCGTAATCCCAATGAGCCACCCGTTAGCGAGAGATAAGCTAAAAGTCGCGATTGTTCGATTTTAGTCATTTCTTGGAATTCGGGCCAGGGAATCGAGAATTTTGAAAGTGACAGTTTTGAGCGGCCGATGACGTTTTTGGCTTGGCCAACCTTGGGGCCACCCATTTCTGCAAAAAAATGGATTTCGGTTCGGGATCGGAAAAATGACCGTTTTGCCCCTGGAACCGTGAACGAATTTTGAGGGCTGGATTAAGTCGGGAGACTGAGAATTACCCAGTATGGCCGAAAATAAGAGGACAAGAATGCCCCTCTCCCTTTTTGGATAATTACTCTTTTGCCCATAGAATTAATGGATAAGGACAAAAGTGGGCCGTCGGATTTTGATAAGATTAAATTTCGGCCATTGGATCGGAGGGGTAGTTAGAGAGGTATTTTGGTAATTTTCGGAGTGCAATTAATGGGGGTAGCATATTTATATTCATTTTTCTATCTCTCTCTCTCTCTCTCTCTCTCTCTCTCTCTCTCTCTCTCTCTCTCTCTCTCTCCTCACCCCCCACCGATCGGTTCTCTCTCTCCCTCTCCCCCGTGCGTGAAGCCCCCTTGGCCGGCCACCAGCTCGCCGCCGCCTGGTCACTGCCCTCCCGCCGGTCACCGCCGCTGCTTCTTCTTCTTCCAGCCGCGCCTCACCGCCCACCGTCCACCCTTCTCTCTCTCTGTTTCGCTGTTCCGATCAGCCCCGCCACCACCGAGCCACCCCTGGCCTTCCTCCCCTGGTCCATACGACTAGATTGCCGCCCCCAGCCGCCCGCCAGCCACCCGCCCACGGCAGCTCAACCGCTCGCCCGCCTGGTCGCCGGCGCCGGCGCCGCTGCTGTTCCGCCCGTTCTAGCCACCCATCCAGCTAGTTTGTCTCGCCTTTCTAGGGTAAGTGACTTCCCCAAACTCTCCCTAGGACCCCGGGTATTGCTAGACTCGTTTAGGACTCGAATTACGTGGTTCGTGTGGCTGTTTTGGAGTGTAGATCAAGGATGGTTGTTTGGTCATTATGGACTGAGTTAGTGATTGAAAATCTGTGGTTTAGTAGGCTCGGATAGGGCTGAGGTGATGTGGAATGATCGCGACTAAATTGTGTGTTCGATTGGTAGTTTTATGATTTGTATGGGTTTAATTGGATAGTTGTACGACTTGTGATTGTTGGCTGGCTTGGAATATGTTGTGGGCTATTTATGTGCAGCCGTGTGTGCTATGTGTGTGGCCGTGAGGTGTGGTGGTGTGGTAGTGCGAATCCGCAGTGAGTTCACGTGCCAAGCATGGGTGTTCGTGTGACGAGGATGTGCATTGCGAAGTGTGTGTGGAGTGTGAAATAGTGGGTGACCATGTGTATGTGTGGCTGTGTGGTAAGTGTGGCACGTGAGGTGCGAAGGTACGGGTATGTAGGATTAATTGGAAAAAGTCCGTCCTGAGGCGTGTTCGTTTACGCGGGACGGTGCCGTCCCTGACGAGGTGACGATGCCCGGCCTGGCCTGACGGGGTGACGATGCCTGACGAGGTCAGAAGACCGTTAGCCTGATGCGTTTTACGTGGGCACGGTAGTGAAGGCAAGTGAGTGTAGGATTCCGTCCTGAGGCGTGTTAGTTTACGCGGGACGATGCCGTCCCTGACGAGGTGACGATGCCCGGCCCGACTGGGTGACGATGCCTGACGAGGTCAGAAGACCATTGGCCTGATGCGTTTTACGCGGGCGCGGTAGTGGTGGAAAAGTGGTGATTGAGTTGGACTTGACTTGACGTGTGAGGATTGCGAGAGTTGGCGTATGGCGTGAGTTCGTGTGCGAGTGTGATTTGTATCGCGTATTGTGGTGCTCGATTATGGAGTAAAAACTGCTCGGCATGGTATGGGACGTGTCCGAGTGGGTTTTGCCTTATAATAAAGGTACGCGCGCGGCTCTGATGCATTATTGTGGCATGTTGGCTGTGTTATTATCTGACGTGCAGGAACGTGCATGATGGGCTCCAGGTAGGATCGCATGTGATTGTTGGTTTGGTTAATTGTTATGTGTTGTGCGTGTTCCGTCTGACGGTACGTGAGAGCCTATGTGGGGTTTGAGGTTGTACACTTATTGAGATTCGTCTCATAGTTGTATAATCCACAATTTCAGACCCCCAACCTTAGACCCAGGAGGCCCGCCTCCTCTTTTTGGAGTTTGAAGAGCCGCCCATGGTGCCTAGTGGAGCTGCAAGTGATCCTCCGGAGCAGAAACCAGAAGACTCAGGAGCTGAATGAAGGAGGGCGACCAGTAGTTTCCCCCTAGGGCATTTTAGGGGTTGCGTAGAATAGATCGATCTATAGTGAAGTTAAGTTAACCAAGCCACCTGATCCTTTTGTTATGGCGGTGGTTGTGAATGCTCGTTTGTTAAGTATGTTTGTAATTTGATATTTGCATGCTCGGTGCTAAGGTATTATATAAATGAATGTTGTTGTTGTTATTTGACTGTTTTGTTAGTCTGCCCCGTCGTTGTCTTTATAGTCATGGGTTTTGTATTCGCTTCCGCATGTGTTTCTGATGTTTGGGTTGGGTTGGCGATGTGCCTGGGACGTCGCAATCATTCGACCGGAGTGGGATGTCGCGAGCTCGATGGGGGTTCAGGGCGTGACAAAGATATACTTGTATGAGACTATCGTAATATTTGTGAAGACAAAAAGATAAAAAGGAAATAGAAAAATAGAGTGTTTTTTGTTTGTTGATTTAAGAAAATGATGGCTTGCTTCCACCAATTTTAAGTTAAAACCTAATTCTGACTCGAACTTTTTTTGTCCTATAAAAAGTCACCCACTTTCACTGCTACCTGATATGGCCTATGTTAACTTTTTGTTTGATAATGCTACGTGTCAATTCCACGTCATTTCCTTTTTCAAAATTACAATTATATATTTATTTTCTATTTTTTTCCTTCCTTTTCTTTTATATAGTGTTTACACTAAAAAATGACTAACTTTTGGTTATTATTGAATGTGATAAATTTAGTCGATGAGAGCAACGTTTGGTTATTTATGAACAGAATTATCGACAACTTGATCAATCGATAGTTTGAAAGAATCGATAAAAAGTGGAGTCGACAATTTCAGATGCAATCGTCAAAGAAGTAACCGTCAAGGTAGTGGAATAAAGCGACCGTCAAGTTAGTGAAGTCAATGTAACCGTTCGATAACCGTTTGTAACCTCTGTTTATAACTTCCGTTGATAACTGTCGATTATAGCTTTAAATAGCTATATTCATCTCTTCGGGAGCCTCCTGGCCGGCGCACAAACTAGCAAACATGTTATCTTTCAATTCTTGCACCGTAGGTATAGTTTCTAGATTTGCGTCGTTGATTGAATTATGGCATGTTTCTTAACTATAGTTTTTAGATCCGTGTCATCATCGATTAAATTCGGGAGTGTTTCTTTATTGTAGTTCGTGAATGCCTAGTTGTTGATTTTTAGCAAAAAAAAGAATGCCTAGTTGTTGATTAAATTTCGGCACGGCATCTCTACGTTCTTAAGCTTTTTCGTCGATTAAATTCCAACACAGTTTATGTACATTCGATTCCGTTCGAAGTGAAGTTATCGATTCGTCTATTTACCTGTGATATTTTCTGTTTGGAATCACTACAAAACCTGTCTCCTCTAATAAAATCAAAGAATGAAAACGTATTTCATCACGGAGTTGAATTCCGACGAAATTTTTTTCGTTTCTTCTTCTTCCTTTCACCTCCGGACCATACCATACCACTATAGACAATTTCCATACCACCATCAACTCAGCCTTGCGATTAGCTCAACCTCGTGACTGGCCTTTCACCACCACCACCACCACCTTACCGCTGTTCCAATCCTCTGTCCATCACCACCTCGCCACTTTCCACAACCACCGTCCTCCGAGCCCCCTTTGGCTCAAACTTAGAACGTCAAATCTGAAGCCACGACCTCCATCGATGGAGGTTGCCACCCGCGATTAAGCCATGCAACCTCAAATTTGAGGTCATGTGACTAAGATCTGAGGTTGCGTGACTCATATTCGAGGTCGCACAATCTCAATTTGAGCTCGAGCACCACCGTTGATGGAGGATGGAGGTTGAACGATTGGTCATGACCTCCACGGGAGGTTCGCCGGAGAGTGAGACCGACGATGAAGAAATAGAGGAACCCACACACCACTAGTAACCCAGACCATGCTTGAAGCTTCATCATCCCTCCAAGATTTGATGCCTTTGTCCAGAGTACAAGATTCCAAGAATTTATCGCCCGGTAGAACCACAAGCCGTAGAAGCGAAGAAGAAAGGAAATAAAAAAAGATAATCTTTTTTGGAAATATCCAATTGAGCTGACATTCCACGTCATCAATGACATATGGAGGGAGAGAGAGAGGGAGAGGGAAAGATGTAGACAAGGAATTGACACCTCAAACATTTAACGGAATACGT